GCCGAAGTCAGCTGCTTAACCAACTGAGCCACCCAGGTGCCCCATGGACACATTAAAATAATAATTCTACCCCCAGTCTATCTGTAACAACCCAGTGTATGTTTCAACCTTTCTAGAACAACAAAAATGTTCCTGGTTATCATTTGAAGCATTTAGAATGTTACACATTGCAGTACATATTTTACAAAGCAAAATTCCCAGGGTACACAGTATCTCCCTGCACTAGTTTTGCAACTATCTAAAAGTCTGTAATTATTTCAAAATAAAAATTACTTTAAAAGCAAAGGTTAGGCACTTGAAAATTCTTCCATTTAAGAGAATCTCCAGAACTATAAACCTACAACACTTAGAAAAGTCAGAAACATTAAAAAGAAAACCTGTCCTCACAGAATACTTTTCTCCATCTCATTTTCAATTCATAGACTCAGCGTTCCAAAAATATTTGGGCACCTATTATGTGACCAGTATCTCTGTCGACACAAGCTGTTCCTAAGGTACCAACATACACCTTATACAATCTACCCCTTAAACATAACTGCCACAACAGAGAACACTGGGCAGTGTCGGGAGACTAGACAGTCTCCTTCAAGTACAGGACACACTCTTAAACCCACTCCAATGGCCTTCCCACTCTACAGTGATTTCCCTATACCTACCAAGTATTTTCTCAACCTGACGCAAATGGCCCCTTTATGACAAAAGAGAAGATCTCCTCCTCTCCAGACTAGTTGACAAAAACCTATTTGATCTAGAATATAGCTAAACACCACTGTAGAAATGAAAATTATGCAAAATTACTCAGTTACATCATGAGTTTTAAGGACTATCTGAAACTTTAACATTTCTCTTTGAGAAAATATGTTCTCAGGCCCAAACATCCAACTTAAAAATGATCTGTAATATAAAAGTTGGGGATTGTCAGTATTTCCCACTACCCACTTCTAACACTCTACCTGGTGCCTAAGTTATTTTCCCTTTTGAGTGCTTTTACTCCAGTGTATATGGATAAGCCAACTATAAAAGTAGCAAGCTGATGGGGGCGCCTGGGCGGCTCAATCAGTTAAGCATCCCACTTTGGCTCAGGTCATGATCT